ATTTGACACTTACAGGTGTACCATTTTTTATGGGTGCAGACAATGGCGTTGCTGTTTACTCTGGCCCACATCTGGGCGGAATAAAAAACCGGCCGGACCTCTCGTATGAGCGCTAATGAGGTCGGACGATACCCTGCCTGAGAGGGGAGGTACGGGTCCTTGTACTAGCCTCTCGACTTATTTATCTACAGACCGTTTAAAACGAACAGATGTCGCAGTACAAGAGCACGTCTGTTTTATTAACTACTCCGTTTACAGTAGCATTGAACTTGACGATAAAAAAGCCATGAAATTAGCAGTAAAGATAAGTGAAGATGTGTTGGGGTAGGTTCGATAGTAAGGCGCAAGCGATGCCGTGTCTGTCACTACGATAAGGAATAAACGGTTGCGTTACAAGTACATATCGACAAGTGATAGGCTATTAGGATTAACGGCATTTTGCTTAATACGCAACATTTATCTTTGTAATTTCCTAAAGGTCCGTTTTATTTGGTATTAACATCAACAATTCGATGTTTTTAATTTAACTTCAACTAGACGATGACCGAGCTTTGCAGGATATTTTTTTTTGATAACGCCATCTTGTTGTGTCTTTAAAGCGGTTAGTTGCCTTCAATTAATAAAAATAGTATTATTATTCGCCAATAGATGTCGGGAAAGTGGATTATTGAAAACACAAATAAAACAACATTTTCTAAAAATAAATCGTAGCTAGATCGATTTATCGCCCCCGAAATCCCCTGTATACTAAATTTTATGAAAATCATTGGAGCCGTTTCCGAGTTTCAGATTATATATATACAAGAATTGCTCGTTTAAAGGTATAAGATTAAGTTTTAAGATTAAGGTATAAGAAGTTTTTTTTTCCAAATTTTAAACTTTAAATAGCTCCCCTGTAAAGTTGCAAAAATGTCGCTCAAACCAAATAGCCTTTCACGCCTTGATACTATTACGTTATAAAACTTCTAAACGATTGAAGCTTCAAATATTACAGGATGTAAACCTGTATAAATATCGGTAAGTTCTTGCATAAATTCAGAATCGGTCCGTTCTATAGTTTCGAGTGCGGATGTTAGAGCGGATATGACAGTTTCTTTCCTGGCTATTAGCGCCTCCGTGCGGCAATTGGCGAGTTGTTACCGATTTACGGCCCACTCTAAACTTTATTCAACACTGTTCTGGTGGTCCTATTGTGTTCCTACCCACAAAAGACGAACGCCGCGATAAAAAGCGCTCCCGAGATATTTTACGGCGGTCCGTTTTATTTATAATTGTAAACGATATCGTAAACAAAGCCTGGTTGGTCATCGACTCAAAATTAAAAGTTTGACAACGGAACGCTATTCTTTAAAACCGTAATCTCAGCTATTAAGGAAACAATTTCGTGTTAATAACATTACGTTTGAAAAGTACATAATTAAGATAGCGGGCCGAGTGGTGTGCGAGCGGCGAATTCTGGATTATAATACTTTTGCGTTTTAAATCGTCACGCTTTTGTCGGCTTGACCGCCGTGTTCAAACGAATCGATAACTGGCTGCCGATGTGATAAGGACATCTCGCACGAACGGTAGCTGAGTAAAGGGATATGTCAGCGTACAGTCTACAAAATAATTGATATTATGTCGATTGACTTGTGTACGATTGAAAAATCCTAACAACAAAACTAGCTGGCCCGGCAAACGTTGTTTTGCTTTATAAATTATTTTGTAGGAAAGATAAATAACCTAGATACCGACTGTAGCGCTCTCTGCCGGGCTGATTTGTGAATCTAAACCATTCAGGGTGTCACCCAAACGCATACAAAAAAAAAAAAAACATTCAAATCAGTTTAGCCGTTTAGGAGAAGTTCAGTGACAAACCCACGCACAGAAGAAATATATAGGTACATATAAAGATTAACAAAAACATCAATATTTTATGGCAAATCAATATCGATTTAATAAAATAACCAAACAGTTTTTAGCTAATTATAAAAAAAAAAAACATTAAGCTAATGACGTCAATACGTTTGAATCGTATTCAGAGTTTGATGTGGATTTATTTAAGTGAACATGCGAAATAAACATATAAATACAATAAAATACTTTATTGAAGTCTCATTTACTGTCTGTACAGCTCACGTAAGGTAGTAGCCGGCATCGTAAACTTTAAATGGAGTCTAATTTAGTTTGTTGTTAATTGAGGCTCTGTCGGCGCTTATCTGCGGGCTGCATTAGCGCCCTCCCGGAGGCCTGGGCTCCCTCGGACCACTGATAACAGCGTAATATGACTGATCGCCTTATGAGACGCTACGAATAAAACATACCTGTTGGCACCGTTTGATTGGAATTTTTATATGCGGCACCTACGTCTATTGTCACCGCGTGTGATTGAACTAATGGACTGGTGTTGTTTTTTTTTAATTTTATTCATATGGCTATAAGCTGATTTAAAATGGTACTCACAATAAAATATACCTATGGTAAATTCCAGAACTGAACTGATTTAGAGTAGTTTTTTTTTGTTTTTTGCGAATGGGAGACATACCTAATTCAAACGACTTATTTAACGATTTAAGCACGCGTTTTCTATTGTCATTATATTATGTACCATGTTTTGAAAACTACTTATAAAATTTTCGTGTTAAGTAACTAACTAAGTAATTTTTTCGTCGTATTTATGAATACGGCCCACCTGATGGTGAGTAGCTACCGTCGCCCATGGACGTCAATAATGCCAGGGATAGAGCCAACCCGCTGCCTACAGTTAAGTACTCTCCACAAGCCTCGTTTGAAGAAGGACATGTCATAGTGCTCGGAAGTGCATTGAATATTGTGCTAACTACCGTCTATTTTCCTATGAAAATATTTCTGGACTTTTAAGTTTAATTTCTCACAGCAAGAAATAATAGTATCTTTATCTGGCGGTAATCCGTACCCACGAAAACTGTAAAAGTATTCGAAACTAATTTAATAACAATAAAAAGGTGAGATTGAACCCAAAGAGTATTTTTAATTAATAATGTACCACCTTTTATGCACAAATGTATGTGCTTTTTGACTGTTTTTTTTAATGTAAATTGTGTTGGTGTGCAATAAAGTATATTCTCTCTCTCTCTCTCTCTCTCTCTCTCTCTCTCTCTCTCTCTCTCTCTCTCTCTTTTATCATATCGATTAGAACCAGAAATCCAGATTATTATTAAAACCAAATTAATTAAATATGATATAATGCTAGCAAAATCTTAACCTGCCTTTATTTTGAGGAAGTTTTAAAGTTTTAATAACCAAATTTTTGTATAATTACCATATTAGATATCCTTTAATTCACCACTAACGATGATACGAAATTACAAGAATTTATTTTTTGATAAATCAAATCTTGCCCGGTGACTACATAATTCCAAACGTCTTGTTTTGAATTCCTTTTCTGAATTCCTAAGCGCGCATCCCAACGTTTACAACCGTACCGTGTAAACTTTACAACCGACCACCAAAACTTTGAATTCGTCCTAATTGTATTAATAGGCGTGAATAATGCCTTGACCGCCCTCCGCTCCGGCGCCAGATGTGTCGCCGGCTAAAGCGATCGTCCACCGCCCTGGGTGCCAAAAACCCACGCTGCCTCGACACATCTAACCCTATCAAATGTCTTTTACAATCACGATAAAAAATTGAAATCCTCTAGAACGTTCCATTGTTCGTAATTCTGTTATCACCTTCTTTGTTTCATTAAATTGACTGTGAGCTTAGCCGCCCCACCGAAAGGGGCAACGGCGGAACATAGAATTGACAATGGTATTCTTTGAATGCGTGTCCGGAGACATTGCGATGCATTTATTTATTGGTGTGTCGAAATGTTTTGGTTCGTGACTCGTGGGTGGCCGTTTTCGTGCTCTTGCTATCTCAAACGTCGAACTAAAACAATTTCGCTTAAGATCGTATAGTTAGTTACTCATTAAAAGTATGTCAATAACTTTACGATCATTAACATGATTAAAATTTATGGATTTTCGGTCTTTAAATGAAAACAATTTTATTTCCAATTTAAGTTTTTATTTATTTATTGCTTCGATGGATGGACTAGCTCACAGCCCACCTGGTATGAAGTGGTTACTGGAGCCCATAGAAATCTACGACGTAAATGCGCCACCCATCTTGAGATATAACTTCTAAGGTCTAAAGTATAGTTACAACGGCTGCCCCGCCCTTCAAACCGAAACGCATTACTGCTTCACGGCAGAAATAAGCAGGGTGGTGGTACCTACCCGCGTGGACTCACAAGAGGTCCTACCACCAGTATATCACTTTTCACTTTTAATCACTGATAATCACTCTTACCTTTGAAGCCACGTCATTAAATCGCGGCCGAATTAAGCAAAAAAACCACTATCTCCCGCACGGGCTCACAAACCTCCAAAACACAACTTTTAAGAATTTCGTGATTTATTATCAAATAAAAACCTCGCTTGAGCATAGAATCAATAAAATTGTATTTACATATTAGAATTTCTTCTTCTTAGTGGCGCCTGCGATGATGAAATAAAAAAAGGCTTGTTCATAGATAAAAAGGCATTATCAAGCCGCTGTATATTCATTATGTTTTACCGGTGGTAGATTATTTTTGTTTTTGGACTTAACATAAGAAGAACTGAGAACTTGCCCGATCCATTAACGGTGCTTTTAGGTACCACATGTCACCGTCCTCGTCGAACCCGTCGCTTACGACGAAGGGCTCGACGAGCGAATTAACCCGCAGACACAGCCCACTGAATTTCTCGCCGGATCTTATCAGTGGGTCGCGTTTCCGATCCGGTGGTAGATTCTGCAAAGCACTGCTTTTGCTAGGGCCAGTGTTAGCAACACAGCCGGTTTGAGCTCCGTGAGCTCACCTACACGTCAAGGAGAAGCTGATATAGGCTCTCAGCATAGGTAGAAAAAAAGAGAACTTGTTCACGTGTCCACCTAGTGCAAAAAAATAGACGCTTGAACAAACAAACAAAATAATTACTTGCTTGTTTCAGACGTATGTTTCCATCGCTTCGCATCTCGCTAGCTGGTCTCGACCCTCGAGAGGAGTACTGCGTCCTATTGGAGTTATCTCTTGTCGGACGCCGGCGTTGGCGGTGGGCGGGCGGCGCGTGGGCCGCAGCGGGCGGTGCCGAACCACAGTCCCCGCGAAGACTTATGCTACACCCAGATTCACCTGCCCCCGGACATCACTGGACGGCCAACCCCGTCTCCTTCAGCAAATTGAAGCTAACAAACAACACCATGGACGCCCAGGGACACGTAAGTACCTTAAAAATACACAATAGCTGTATATATTTTTCATATTCGTGGTTCTACTATATCGCAATTTATTTAAAACATAATAAATTTTGATGCAAAACCGGTCTATTCTTAGTTTCGCCCATAGATAACAGATGGCTTTGTCAACATTATTTTTGCGCTTTTTGTTTTTGCCTAAAAGTAAATTCAGACCTCATTGTCTCCATACTTACTATAGTATGCTCAGGTAAGCTTAGGCCACTTTTGTCCTGACGGCCTCATATAAAGTAAATAGTTTTAAAAGTATTTTCTCCATTATCAAACTTCGGTTCAGGGCGATTTGTATTTTCCCTTTTTCGAGGAGGGCATGGTGTGAGCTTTTATGTGTCATTACCATAATCCAGTCTATACCTGCAAAGAGTATCTTTTTTATTATTTATTTGTCTATATCTTTTATTCTCTTTTAACGCTTAACAAATGCGACACTACAGCACAAACTCCTTATACCCGTTTATTTCACTATTCGCTAATTAAAAAAATACGACCAAATTCCTATGTTCGATTTCTTTATTCGCGCATTTATTCGGTTTTCTTTCCATATTCACGTTTTCTATTTTCGCGACATATTCACGGAACGTATCTATACCCCGGAATAAAGAGCTTACTCTATTACGCTATTTAGCTTTGGACCTTAATGAGCTGGACAACACTAGTCGATATATGTAGATACATCATGCGGGCTGTCAGCTCTGATTGACGCTGATCGCTGTGCCAAGGGTCGTGGATTCGATTTTCATATCAAGCAAACACTCGTGAGATGAAAATAGCTTAATTGTTTATATTTAAACCTATATAAGCCTTTGTTTTCCACACGGGGATATTTTGTTTGCGACCAGATGAATGTGTTTTTTTTTTTTTTTTTTTNCTGGGGTACGTTTTGTGTTCCCTCCTTCGTATACGGCAGCGGTTTTTTCCACGCCGAGACGGTGGGAACCGCAGCCGGTACGAAGGCTGGTTTCGGCACTGAAGGCGCCGAAGTCTTTGGGTCGACGGTTCGGGGGGCTGGGTGGTTCAGGCGTTTACGCGGAGCCCTAGGACATCCGCGGTAGTTTGCCGGGTGCCCTTGCTTAAGGCGATGAATGTGTGTGACTTGTCCCCTGTAATTATTATTATTAGCTCGTTAGTCCTAATTACATAAGCCAATAAAACTAACTATTATCCAAGTCCTAAAAAGTTGACATAAAGATTAATTTATTTATTTAAACGTAAGGCGTTAAATACTTTATGTTCGTTTCGCAAAACCATTATCTAGACGTAAATACGACTGTTTGCTCTTAGTAAATAATGTTCACTGGAAAAACATGATGTTAATAAAAATATTCAGTACTAAAAAACCATATACAGTCATATTGTTTTACGTGTAAACTCTAAATGCCACTAAACACGTATATATATTATTTGTGTGCAGAGATAAATACGATGATTAGCAACTTTGGCATTTGGAAGTAATTACCGGTTATCGTAAAACTACACAAGCGATTTCTTTTATCGTAATTACTATCTTTTCAGTAACAAAAGCTTCTAAATGAGTCAAAGCGTACGTAATATTTTCTTAAAGGACAAAAGTATTTAACAGTAGTTATGCGTTCTGTTTCACCTGCGCTTGGTGTTTAAATTAAAATAATTATAAGTCCTCAAAATCGGCGCTGCCGTTTCGCAGTTTTTGAAGTGGTCATAGCTTATAAGATAACGACGCCCGGTGTGCTCGAGCGATGCGTCTATGCCGGTGTCCAAAACCCACAAGCAGATATCAACTGTCGTAACTAGATACCTACGTAGTATCAAGAGTGACTTCCACCGGATTACACCGGATAATTATCGGTTGTGGGTTCTGTAGACCCGCAAGAGTGGGTACGGTACGATAATCTTATTTCTGCCGCGAATCTTATTTCTATTCATTCCGGATAATTGAGAACCCCGGGTCTTAACATGGGTGACGATCTAATTTTACCTTACAAGGGGCCCATTTATGTTTTGCTTTCATTATTTTTTTCTATTTCGTAGTCAGACGTGCTTGTTAGCGTTAGATCGCTACTCAAGTTCGTAGATATCTTATAGCGGATGTTGTCTAGTAGACAATCGAACTGTCAGTTGTAAATGTCTATCTTACCATATAGATCACAACTTCTCTTGCTGAAACCAGCAAGATGACGCAATAGACCTATAGATACAGAAATTTTCGAAAAGTCATTACGTCTTTTGTTGACAGGGTCACAATTAAATGGGACTAGGAATAATCCGCAGCCGCGATACTGATACAAACTTTTTTAAATAATAAAATAATAAAAACGATCCCTACGACTTTTGATTACCAATTTGTTTAACTATTTATTTGATTCGTCAATGTTATCTTAACATTTTTACATCCTGTAAAAACCAATGGGCTTGATAGAGGGATGTTTACAGGAAAATAGCGTTATTTAGAGGAAAACAAAAATACTAATAATATATAGTAATAAAAATATTAATTAATACATAACGAACATTATTTTAAATGAAGTGTTTGTAACACAACTAAGTGACATGTTTTCAACAAAATACTTTCATAATTAATTCATTTCAACCTATACTTAATTAAGAGACATTAATCATTAATTTTGTTTATATGCATATAAGATGTGTACGTTTTTTTATATTTATTTATTTTTAAGCATTATGTACCAACAGAATTTGCAGTAAAACATAAATAAAAATTACATAATGTTAACACACCTACAGCTCTCTAACAAAAGCGAGCCAAAACAATACCAATATAATACAAAAATAGTGATAAGTAGGTTTTAAAAACGTATAAAAAGTTATCATGTTAGATATTTTAATCTTAAAATAGCGACTCTGCCGTATTGCTGAGATTTATGAATGTTGCCAATAAGAAGAAAAGGTTTTTAATAATACATCACTATACTATAGAGCAAAAAATTTACCTATCCAGCTTCGACTGAAGATGCCAATGCGAAAAGTTTTATTGCGTTAGCTTCGCTTTAAAAATGATTGCTAGGAAAAGCATCTCAAAATGCCGAAAAATGTGTGTTAATTTCGCGATTTTTTAAAACTCTCAAAATCATTTATTTATGACAAATTAAGCATAGGGACTTGGCAATGGTACCGTAGGCGAATGCTATAAACTATTTTCACTACTTCAATAATTTTTTGAGGAGGAATAAGAGGTAATACTTATGATTCTGGCTGGATTAAATGCAACTTTTATTTCTTCTTAAGCCTTCTTAATATTCTCCGGCTTTTGCTCGTCGTAAGCATAATTAAAATTACTTTTAGCCTTTAATCCTACGTCTTCTGTTGTCCTTACATTATTTCCGATTTTTTAAACACTTTAGAGTTTTCATGATCGCGGGCCACTAAAGTACTATATACAGTCCACATTTGAATATTGAGCTAATACCAATACTAATAAAACCAAAATCAAACTTTTGCAAGATTAAACTGTAAAAGTAAATTTATATATATATATATATATATTCATGCCACACAAAAGTAACGTTGAATAGAAGAAGTAGTAAGAAGTAAGTTGTATTAATGGGCATAATTTGAATTAACCACATGATGACAAAAAGGCTAACAATTTTTTTAAATGTCTATTCAATACTCCGCTATTTTCGTGGTGTGAGAATATGTATTGAATAAGAATTCAATTGTTGTTGTTTTTTTTAATTGAGACACCACCAAGATTTCTGAATACGGTGTACGGTGTGTGAATATTGCATGTATTTTTATAATATTATATAATTACTAGCTGACCCGGCAGACTTCGTACTGCCTCAATCGATAAATAAAAGACCAAAACTTTTGTATAAAATAAACCTAAAACAAACAAAAAGAATCCGTCCGTCATTTTTATTTAATTCCTAGCATTTTTATATTTATCTACCTTTTAAACCTTCTCTGGACTTCCACAAACAATTCAAGACCAAAATTAGCCAAATCGGTCCAGCAGTTGTCGAGTTTTAGCGAGACTAACGAACAGCAATTCATTTATATATATATATATAGAGATAAGATGAGGCATACGTTACTGTAAAGTTAAACTGGTATTCGTAACATCGAAGAATAGGCTACGAATCGCATTGCATAAAGGTCTGCGATCAGTTTTTTTTTTAAAGTAGGTACATATTGACTTTCCCATGGTAAATAGATACAAATTGAACATATCCGGCTGCTGCAGGCCTCCTAATAATATTAAGTGTCAGCTGTTTGTCTTTACCAAATACATACGACACGAAACAAATTCAAGAACATATCCAGAGAAGCTACGTTCAGTGTTCCACGTGAAAATATTTACAAGGATTTTCCAAATATCTGATCAAATTTAGTGAAACTCTAACATGATAAATAAGGTTATATTTAAGTAAAATATGATTAGAGATTTCTTTTTATTAGGTAACGCAAATGAACTAACGATTCAACTCATAATAAGTGATTGCTAGAACCCAGAATCATCACAATGTCAATGCCGCCACTCACGTCGTCGTCAAAGTCGTCGTGGCCTGACAGATAAGACGTCCGGTGCACTCGTGTTGAGCGATGCACCGATGTTCGAATCTCAGGCGGGGACCAATTTTTCTAATGAAATACGTACTCGACAAATGTCTACGATTGACTTCCACGGTTAATATTACCAAAGCTAACGCCTACTATTTGTAGAACTTGGCACAGGCTTTGTTACATGAGTCCATATATTTTCAACTTCGACCAGATTGGTTGAGACGTAATTATAATATTAGGTCATTACAGAGCTCCAGACGAAACCGCAGTATGCTCAGCAAACGAATTTAAAATTTAGCTTCTCAGAAATAAGGCTGTGATTACATAAACATAGGCAGTCGTATAACGCGCCGCAGGAGTCTCGTAACACAAAGACTTCTCTAAGCATTTCGTCACTCGAACAAATACGCTGAAAGGTATTGTGTGGAGGCTTTGTGCCTACGAGTAACTGTAGTTCTTTA